TATATATAGGATTCGAGCACGAAACTCTGAGTTCTACTGAATCTGCAAACACGCATTTTGATCCGCCACTGTTCAAATTCATCTCATTGGATGGTAGAGATATATGACTACAGAGCTGGGAATTTATCAATAACACGAGGGGTTGCACTAATATTAACAGAAGGTAACTGATCTTCAATTGAAGAAAAAAAAGAGAGATAATCATCACTGTAATACTAAATATATGAAGGTGTGAAGTCAATCCTATGAATCAATTTTACAAGAAAGAATTCTATTGGTGGTGTCAAAATCTAAGAAAATTATGGAAGTGTTATCTTTTGTGCGCAATGTTCTGGCTTCGTTCAACAAAGAATTTGCTATTTTTTCTGCAGAAATTTCTTCATCTGTTGAGCTTCTCTCCTTTGTCTGCACATCATAAAATTTCAGCATATGGTTAAAGAAGCTATAGCTTGGGAAAGAATCGGGTGCCTCCCGCCTACACACAAGAGAATCATACAAAGTGCTCGTACCTGCTGGACTTGTTGAACTGCCTTCTTCACATTAATTACGTCCCAGAAGCCATCACTGGAGCAAATCCACAAGCATGTTTTAAGCCAAAAGTATAGTTTATCTATTAATCTATAGCACATATTGAAGAATCGGTAAGAAATGTACTTATTGATGTCCTAGAGTTCGACACAAGTATGTCAAGCCAACCCATGTCAGATAGATAACAAGATGGAAGATCACATACTTGACAAAGTTCATTTTTTCTTTAATTTCAGTAGAGGGTGAAGGGGAAACGAGGAGAAGGGAAAAATCAGGATAGAGAGAGAATGAAACAGCTCTGCCGCAATACATGAAATGACGTCAAATAAAGCTGGAATTACCTAGCTAACAGTGCAAATCCTTTGCTAGCTTGATGTATGTACACAACTTGACTAATATAAGGTTCTGAACTGAAGCGAGCATCTTGCTGTTTAAGAAATTTGTCTCCGAGCATACGAGCAAGGTTTAAACCTAGTTAAGAGCAAGCAAATCAGTTGCTGGTTGATCATTGAGGTTCTACAGGGGATATACAAGAACAACAGAGAGAAAAAAAAAATTTGGAAAGGATCAGAGACAAAAGATTTTACTCACCACATAGTCTTGTTTCCCCATCTTTTAAAGGATCCCCTGTTGCTTGGATACGCATCCTTTCAGAGTAACTAGTTATTCTGTGATCTTCAGTCATTTTTGTCAGCTTCCCGTCAATACTGCCTCAAACAAAAACAGAATGAATGAGTTTAAACTAATAAGTGGTTTATAATAAGTATATATCTTAAACTGCTTCTAAACCTTCACCGGCATGAGTTGACAAGGTATTGCATTAAGACAACTTATAGCTGCATAACATCTCACTAAAGCATAGTCCATACAAACATGAACTACGAACTGTCAATCAATCAACAACTAATCCTCAACTAGTTGGATCAGCCATATGAATTCTAGTTATCCATTGCGCTCTATTCGAACCCATTTTATTCTAATGCTAAATAGTATTTTGTTTTATAAGTGAATTAAGGATGCTCTAAAAGTAAAGGTTCTCTAAATCTCCCACTATCTCCAAACTAACAATTTCTTTAATAGCAACGATGTTTGTGCCAAGTTATACACACATTGACTACTTACACCAATATAGATACCAGGTAACTCTACCCACTAAAACGTAGGCAGATGGGAAAAATCACCGTCTATTTTTTCCTCTGTTAGGATTCAGACTCTGATCTCCTATGGTTCATAATTCCAGCTTTATCGATGGCCAGACCACACCATGGGAAGCAGTCCAAGTTAACATATAAGTCTTGAACCACATAAAAATTTCATGAAAACAGTGGACCTGATGCAAGAAACAATATTTGGATCTAAATCCTAATTGGTTGGTATTGCTTGTATAGAACCTTTGCTTTCATTGTGTTGTGTTCTTAGGATAAGTCCACATCAAAGTCAGTGTCACGCAGTCACACCTACAAAACCGATGCATCTGGACGTCCATATAAGACATGGTGAAACCATTTCAGGCAAACTACTCCTAATTTTTCTTCTATGCATGTTGTTTGGAACCTTTTGTCAAATGAGATCATCTCTAATCTTGTACGATTGCAGATCCCTTCTACGACACTCATTTGATGAATATGTTGGGCTTTTGAGTTTTGAGGCCCAATATTAACTCTGATATAACATTTTTGGTTTCACACAATGTATGATGAAATTTTGCAGACTGCATATTAGGCCAAGTTAGAGCTGCAACATATTAACAGATAAATGGTTTATGTTTCTGTAACATTGCAAAATATTAAAGCTCAATCTCTCTAATAAAGATAAATGTCAATATTACCAATTCAAGGCATAAATCTCGAAAGTTGGAATTCATAGTTCGAAGAATCGAGGTATTAGTCGTCTGAGCAGAAGTAATTGAGAAGATAAAACTATGAGAACTATAGAAAATTAGACTATAGATCATGCAAAGTAAACAAAGATCATTATTACACACAATACAAGAATGAAGAACGCCTAAAGCAACCAAAGGCCATATGGAAATGCAGCCAGTTAGCAAATGAAATTACTGATGAAAGTGTGGGGACGCACTTTACAACACAAGCTGAATCTCCAACATTTGCACATTGCGCATAAAAGTTTTCATGATCATCAGCCCAAACCAGAAGCACTGTTGCAGTACATCCCTAACAGATTTGATTGTCATCAATAAGGAAAATATTAGTAAATCCAACAAACTAAAACCTTTTAACAGCTTTAATGTGCAGCACGAACTTAGTAATCAAATAAAAACAATTAATATCCTGTAAGAATGCAAATAAACATGAGAACAAGGGAAAGCTGCATCAGCGCATGGACTTAACCACAAAATTCTTCGCTCAACTCACAACATTCATATAAATAAACTTGTTACACACAGAGATAAAGCTTTAACCAGGTGAATAAAGCTTATAAGATATACTACAAAATAAGTCTAGGTAAAAACCTCATAGTGGTGATCTATACTCGCTTCAGTTTGAGAGAATGCTTCTCTAAGAACATCTGAAGCATCACATTGTGACAACACCCTCTCCCTTCTAAATGAATCTGACAAGATGCTAGCAACTATCTGAGGCATTATTCTGTATAGGGACAACAAAAATCCACGAAGATAAATTAGCACATAGGGGTGACAAAGAATTTGCTCACCTAGCAAAGACAGTAACAATGAATTCAGTAAATCCAACTAAAGATTTAATTTTTAAAATTTCATTCCAAAATTGCAATGAAAAAAGAAGATATGATATGATCCAGAATAAAGAATGTTTTCGAGAAAATTTTAGCCTATGCCATTTTTCAGCAGAAAAAACAACCAATTGCTTTGTGACTGTTAAATTGAAGAAAACATCATGTATGATTTCTTTGGGTCAACATTACCTTTTATTTTTACTGGTGGAGTTACATAACACAGTGATTATAACTTACTTGCTGACAGACGTTGCAGCACCAGCTCCTCCGTGTCCATCGCATATCCCAAACAATCCAAACTACAATGGCAAATATACAAATTTCTTGGTCATTATCTTTTGATTGGTAAGATAATATAAGCCTTTCAATTGTCCAAACCTTATCCNATCATTATCTTGACTGGTAAGATAATATAAGCCTTTCAATTGTCCAAACCTTATCCGTCCCGGGAACAGGCCAATGGTAATAACAAACATCTTCCATAGGCAGCTTCTTTCCTCCTCGACGTACGGCCATGGCATCTGATGCGACACCAATCCCAAATGGGACCTGATGCTCACTTTGGGATCTAATTTGTACCTGAAAGAGAAAATATTACATGGCAATGAGCACCTACGTTCACGCTTGCAATCATACATTAGTTAAACGTTACATTTATTATTCTCTTTTGGTTTGTCTGGAAAACATGTAAGCTTTTCTCAAATGGCAAACCGTAAGATTTTAAACCAAGGATAATGGTATAATTTTGTGATTAATTGACTCCAATATAGGTTTTCTGTCAAAATATTAGTAACTTCTAAGTCACACAGCTCAAACTTTTCTTCATGATGTCTATCCGAAATCAAACCAGACTGTTAAATAGTAAGAGGTAACACATTTTAGAGAGATTTTCTTCTTTACTGCCATTGAAAAAATTGGTTAAGTCACATAGGACTCAGCTTATGAATTGGAAATTATGATTGCCAGCCTTTTAGCTCGAGACAGGATAAAAAGCCTCACTTCAAATAGAAACAGCCGGGATAATACTTACCAAAATAAACACAATTACAGTAACAGTAACAGCTTAAACATGAATAGATATACGAAGAGAACTAAGGTAAGAACTACACAGTATTGTGCAATTAAAGACAATTGACAACAGACGATGGTAGGTTGCTTGAGAGGTCATGGTTGTTCACTAAGACTATGAGTCTATACAACAGTACAATAAAAAAAAGGCGTACTATACCAGAATATTGTACACTTCCCACTACTGCCTCTGTTCACTAACACTATGAGTCTATACAACAGTACAATAAAAAAAAAGGTGTACTATACCAGAATATTCAAAGAACTAATTTGGATTACAAGGGCAAAACCGACCAACTTTGGTCCAGATTTAGGTATTGAAAATTTTACCTTTCTGGTAATAAAACGTGTAAATTTTGAGCTACGTGTAAAGACACATCCAAACACAAAAGCTAGAATCTAGAAATATCAAATTGTGGTCAAAGAGGATGGGTTCACTCCATAATGTTAGTAGGTAAATCTTCCTGTGAAGGTAATATAAACCTGTTAGAAATCACTCCTTCCCACTCTATCCTCGACTCATTTGTTTCACTAACTCGTCCTTTGGTTCCTTCATAGGCCATACTGTGCAATCCAACAACAACAACAACCCAGTATAATCCCACTAGTGGGGTCTGGGGAAGGTAGTGTGTACGCAGACCTTACCCCTACCCTGGGGTAGAGAGGTTGTTTCCAATAGACCCTCGGCATCCTTCCCTCCAAAAACTCCCCACCTTGCTCTTGGGGTGACTCGAACTCAACCTCTTGGTTGGAAGTGGAGGGTGCTTACCACCAGAGCAACCCACCTTGTCCATACTGTGCAATCCATCTTCTGGAAATATCAGATATTAGTTTTTTATGAAAGAACATACAAATGTTATTTTTTTATTAGCTAAATAGTATTTTCAATAACGGTGATGTTCAGGCCAGCGCGTTCGTGCACCTCAAGTAATTCATTGAGCACCCACAGACTCCAGTAGCACTAGTATGGGTGGGATAAAGCCAACCAAGACTTAAGCAGATGCAAAGAATTACTAGGTCGCCTCTGTTGAGATTCAAACCTTGGTTTCAAGGTCATCACCTTGCACCTCTACGACCACTAAGCCACCCCGTCCGGAAAATTATTAAAAGAAAATTTGATACGTTATTAGATCAACTTTTTATATTGAAAAACCAAGCTAGGATTCCTTTACCGCGTTTGTATCATGCAAAAAAGGTTATTTTAATCTGTTTCTAAATCCTACTTTGCTATTCCGTATTCACCTTGTCGTGATTGGTTTCAACTCTCATTTAATCAGGCGAGATCAAATTAGCCATGTTCAGTAGAATAAGGGGCAAACTGCAATTTTCGTGATCCATCTGTAGCTAATCCTTGTATACCTATAACACTTAAAGCATCCAAATTTCAGTCACATGAAATGAGCCTATTTGGTTTCTTTCACATGAAATATTAGTTCTGGAAGCTGCTAGAGCATACGAAGGACATTAGTGCCATGAAGTTTCCCTTCTTGATGGTGCTCCTTGACTATAGTAGTGCAATTGTTTTATAGCAACTTCTTGGTTGTAAATTTTGCAACAAATAAATTTTATTAGCTTTTCAAATAGCCAGCGTTGGATATAGTTACACATGAAAGTATTAGAAAGCAAAGATACTCTGTCTCCATTAGAAATTGGTGCCTTTATTTAGAGGGGAAGGATCACGAAGGAATTGGTTATCTTTTTAATATATTTTGTGGGAGGAGGGATGAGTCCATCTTCAAAACAAGAATCTTAGTAAAATGACAACAGCACAAAGCCCATACGCACTTACAAATATTTGCGAAGTTGTGCCAAGCGTTATTATGTCTCCATTTGCAAGCTCAACTGGATCGCCCCACTGTCTGCTCCCAGAATGAGGACTATGGACAGCACGGGAATTAACTAGTGTGCCGTTCAAGCTACCCATATCAACGAGCTCCCACCTCAATTTCTGAAACAATAGAAGTGAAATGTGCCTTCTACTTTATTTTCTTTCGTAAATAAATAACTAAGAAACATAACAATATGTTATTAACATCTGCCAAGATCCATATGAAACCACAGATTTTCAATGGGCGTACATTTATATTCCAGTTTATCATTGCATGCTTGCCAGAAATTTCTGAATCCTTGAGCAAGATATCACTAGGTGTCACTCTTCCAAGAGTAAGTGGAAGCCTAGATGTATTTGTTGATTGCATTGAATGTTGAAGACCTTGACAAGGTCCCGAGATAACCTCCAGCATGAGGATGCTTCCTGCACTTCTAAAAGAAAAATATGATGACACTGTTTACACATACTGTCAATCAAAAAGTGTAGAAAACATCAAGCACTTGTCACAGTGATAGAAGAAATTACTTTGATCTTTAGTATCTTTTGGAGCAAAATCTCCAAACTTTTCATTCTGTATTGCCACATTTGGTCTGTACTTTACATCTTCCGATCTTATGTGTTTCTGCTCTTCTGCTAACTGATTAATCACAAATGGACGCTTAAGCGTCTGGCCAATAGAAATATCTTCTGAAGTATCACAAACATCCAGAACAAAACTGTCGCCTGGAAGAAGCAATTTAAGTTATGATCTATAAAGAATAAAAAGCCAATCAACAAGGAAGGAAGCGTTATATACTATGCATTAATTGAGGATTTATGGAGGTCAGCCTTTGTTTATGAACAAGTCCCTGAGTCCAGGGTGAACCATAAGCCCCTTGATTCTGGTGACCGCCTGCATCGTGAGCATAACTTCTAGAATATTCATGACTCTGGCTTTCAATAAGATGCAAATCATCTGAAATAAGAGGCCTCTCTACATCATCAGCCTACATAAAAATATAATTACAGCAATTTCAAAAGAATGCACAAGAAGGGGGTGGAGGAAGGAAGGGCCAAGCTTATACTTTATAAACAAGAATTATGAAACAACTAAGAAGACATTAAGGTAACCACAGGATAAGTGGTAGCTCCATTAGCATCATTTGTAAGTGNAGAGCAACGCCTAAAACGACCAAAGCATAACGTTCAAAAATTTATCTCTGTGCTTTTATATGTTAAGCATTGTCAGATTTTAGAAAGCCAGGGCACTGGGACAAGGCAAGTACTAAAAAGTTTGGCTGGCCAACTAGATCTCTTAACAACTTCAATAGTGGATATCTTACAGTTTAAAAACAAGAATAAACTTGGAAGAGGTGGGCAAATAAAGTAAGAAAAGTATAACGTGGAAAAGGAACGAGTAGTGTAGACGTGATCGGACACCTTCACTCAAACGTTAAAGTCAATACACATAAATTGTTGCAATCTATAGAAGCTCTGTTTCATCTTCTTCTTTTTTTGATAAGGAAAGCTCTGTTTCATCTTAAGAAGTTTTATAAATAGGAGTAGTAGAGTGCAGAAGAATTAATCCCTCACCAATATCCACGTACTATACTTTGGTCAAAGAGTGATACTTGAAGAGCTGAATTATCTATTTATAACATTATGTTGATAATCTAGAGTCTCTAGGTGCTAATATGATCTATCAAATCATCTAGAATCTAGCATTGCTTTTTCAAAAAAATACGAAATCCCTCCATCGAAAATTGAATGTGCATTTGACTTTCTTAGCATCAGATAGGAATCTCCTAATTAATGTTACAGTCTTTACACACGATTATAACCAATAAAGCTTTAGATAATAGCAGCTAAATAGAGATTAGTTTCTTCTGTATAATCATGCAAAGCAGAAAAAATAATAACTAATATTACCATAAAAATAATCCATAAAGACCTTAAATATTCAACTGTAAGATCCAATTAGAAACAAATGAGATATCAAGTGTTTTTTCAGTAACGCTAATAGAAATATATTCAAGAACACATTTAGATAGATAAAAATATCCCTTTCTTAACACTATAAACTTTTGAATGAAGTGATCACACAATTCAACACAAAAACAAAGCAAGCAAAAATCCTAGTCAAGTCTCCCATCACCCATCAAAGATTTTTCCACGTGCTAAGAAAATAATCTTACCACACACAAAGAGACATCTTGACGAGATAATTAAATAGGACGACCCCACTTCAACAACTTAACCTTTTAAATGAAATAGTCACACAGTTTTAGAGCAAACATATGTCCTAGGTTAAAATCCTCACTACCACTCATCATCAAATTTTCACATACTTACACTAGGATAAAGAATCCGATCTCACGTGAAGGGTGTTACATCATAACTAAGTAAAATTATCCCCATCTAGTAGCTTAAACTTTTAAACGAGGCGGTCACACAATTCAACCACCAAAAGTACATTATTACTTGAGTTTTCTACATGGTTTTGCAAGGTAAATGAGAAAATACTAACTTTCAGCAACATTTAGAGCGTCAAATCAACTAAAATTTTGTATTAGCTCAATAATCCCCTCTGGAAATACTACTCCTAGAATAGACAACTGCAAACACTTCACTCTATCGATGTACAAGAGTAATGAGACATATTGGCAACACAGACAACACCACCAACAGAAAAACATCTACAAGAGATTGTCGTATAACTCTGGAACCTTTTCCTTTATGCTAATTTCCAAAAGTTATCCTTAAAAAAAAGGGTGCAATAGCATTTGACTTAGTCCTTGCATCCATATGATAGGAATTATTACTTTGTCAACAATGTGTGTCACCGGTGCTTATGCTTGATTTTTTCCTTTTTCCGATAAAATACAGCCATTAAGAAGACAGTTAAAACAAAAGATCCATATAGGTGATACCAACTAGTTAGGACTAAGTCTTAGGGATCTTTTATTTATTTTTTGGGTAATAAGATGGGATTAAGACTTAGTTATTGTTGTTTAACCCGTATTAGGCCCGTGCCAGTCAGGAGTTTTTTATTCTGGTCAGAGACAATCATGTCTATGTAAGTACAATTGAAAGGTTTAGAGAACACCTAATTTGCCTTAAAAGAGAAATTATTTAGTACATGAAATTGGTGTGAAAAGAGTGAAATGAATATAGAGGATTAATTCAGCTGACCACACCTAAATTAGAACTAAGTCTTGGTCGATTGATCGATTGATATTGATAATACAACAGTGCATGATATCTAGGTCGCCATCTAGATAGTCAATATCTACTCTTCTTTTTTTTCTCTTGGGCCTTACTCATAAAAATAAAATATATATCTAGATAATGAACTAAATATATTATAAGCCTATGCTAGCTGAACCTGTCATTTCCCTTCACATCACATGATGGATGAGGTAGGAAATAGGTATTTGTAATAATTTTAGTACTTCAGATGGATTCTCCAAAAGCCTCAAGTGTACCTTTGAAGATACGTATCATGTCTAATACCACATTAGGGTCCCCAAAACGAAATTTTGAACTGTGAGTATCCAACTACTAGCAAGTAAAATCTCACCGGAGGTACGGGTAAATCACCTCTTAGAACCACCTAGGTGACATACATAACAATGCAGTTAGCTCTTAAAGAAAACAAAAATAAGTTCCTCATTTCCTTGAAACTTTAATTGCACTGAAGTTTTGGGATCGCATTGGTGTTCACAGTTCCTAATAGGGCATGAGAAACTTTTCCAAGAGTAAGAGTTTCTTCTCTGTCCAAGCTCGCTCGAAACTCATATGCAATGTGAAAAACATGGTCTCCCTTAATAAAGGAACCAGGCTGAGCTGCCCACTTTCAACCACTGAACTAGGCAACTATACCAACTTCCAAAATTAAGAAAGTTTCAAACTTTGCCATCCTCTAATACAATTGAGCAGAACCAACATGATCCATCAATCACATTACCATCTCCTTAAAACTACAATCAATGAACTACACCTCAAGCCCAAACAAAGATGGATAGGCTATAAGAATCCTCTATAATCTTTTCCTTCTATTCGGCACCACGAGAACTATAAACCCTAGCAAATTTATTCCAAGCAATAAAAATTACAATCTTGTTTATATTTCACCCACATTAGAAACAACTATAATTAGAGTCAGGCATAAACAAGAATCAAAACCCTATGACCAAATTACAGAAAAGACCATTTCTTGTTATATTTGCAATCATCCTAAAAACATTTAAGGTCAGGCATAAACAATAAGCAAAACCCCTACAACCCAATTGCAAAAAGACAATTTTTTTGTTATATTTATATCATCGAGCAATTTTGAGGTAGGCATAAGAAATAAGCAAAACCCCTTCAACCGAATTGCAGAAAAGATCATTTCTTGGCAAATTTACATTTTAAAAAAAATGGAAATGGGGCTAATCTAACCTTGATGATGTTCTTGTTGCGAAAGACGGAGTTGGAGGAGACAGGAGAAGAGTAAAAGAAACGCCATGGCTTATACTTGCAGGCGATAAGGATAAATAAGAGGATCAAAAGGAGCATAACAATAATAACAATAAAAATGCCCTCTTTCGATAAGACAATGTTGCTGCTGCTAAGAGTGGTCATGTTCATGGTATCATCAGCACCTGGCATTGCGAGAAGCTCGCTTTGAAAATTGAAAATGATGAGAGAGAAAAAACAACACCCTAAATTCTATTTCAACTCTATTCCTATTAAAATCCAATCAATCTTCTCTCGGCTTTGCGACAACCTCGCTTTGAAATGGTCGCATTTATTTTTCTCCTCTTTGTTTTCTCCATCCAAGAATGAACCCTTTTTATATACTGTAATAATTTTTTTCTTTTTATTTTTTGGTATAAAATACTGTACTAATCTAGTTTGATCTGATTTACTAGTAATATTAAAAGTATACGCATACACGTATTATTACATAACTTGTAGAAGAAATGAGAGAGTGGTTCTTTTGGATTTGCATTAACATACACACATGGAACTGTCATGTGTCAACGATCTAAATCTGATAGTGGCAAATGTTAATGGACCTTACTTGGCAGATGGGATTTGCCTCAATTTTGCTTCTTACTTACTCCCTCTCTTCAATTTTACTTGTTAGATATGCATTTTTTAAATTCAATAAAATATACATTAATTAATATGGGTATCATGATAAATTATACACTTCATTTATTATTTCTTACGGGACGTGAAAAGTCAAAACGCGTCAAGTAAAAGTGAACGAAGGGAGTACATATCTTGCTTCTATCTTAATAATTTCATAAAATAAAGTGTTTTTTATTATTGATCCTTATTTATGCAATTAATTTTCTTTTACCTAATTTCAATTCCGTCAAAGAATTACAAGTCTATATTACTGAAGATCTACAAGTTAGGCAATTCAAAAGTATATTTTATGACTATTATATTAGTGTTTGGAAGGGTGCCAACTAAGGGTGTTCGTGTTTGATTTAGTTCGATTTTTAAGAAACCTAACGGTATTTCTCTTCTCTTCTTCTTCTTGTAATCAAAAAATAAATTCCCTCCTTTACCAACTTATAATCCTTTTTTCCAAAAGTCTCATAGAAAAGCTTGGTCCTAGTGAAAGGAATAATTCCTAGTCATCAGTATATTCTATGGCTGACAGTTTATAAGAAGTTATCAAGGCTCCAGAAATGGGGAATTCATGTCACGATCCAAATTTCCCTCGTTAGGATGTTCTGACGACACATAATCTCTAAAATTGGGTAAGCCTAATACTTATTGAATTAATAGAAAAATTTGACCAACAATTAATAATTTGGAAATAGAACCTTATTACACGACTTACAATTCCCAAAACCGATATTACAAGTCATAAGCTCTACTGAGTTTACTACAAAAACCTCTAAATACAACTATTTGGAAATAGAGATAAACAGTGCAAGTACAATACATAAGGTGACCCTGAGGCCTGTGAACGCAACAACATGTTTACTTGAGTCTCCACAACAAGATCCGTACAACTAGCTAGCAATCGACTAACTCCGAATTACCTCGATCTGCACAAAAATGTGCAGAAGTGTAGTATGAGTACATCACAGCGGTACCCAGTAAGTATCAAGACTAACCTCAGTGGAGTAGTGACGAGGGACAGTCAAGAGACCTACTGGACTAGATAACGTGAACAAGTATAGGTATTGGACTAATATAGTATGATATATTTACAGAACTATGCATAATGACAACAATAATACGGTGCTTGCAATAGGAAATAGAAACAACAATTTGCAGCGGGACACCACAAGTGATAACGCAGTAGAGTAAGCTGGACACTGTTTAAATCTGTGAAAAACAAATAAAGGAAAGACAAGTAGCAACTTGATAAGAATAACCGCTTTCGCACCAGGTTTATTAAATAATCCCCACGAGGTACCAAACCTCAAAACTCACACAATTCACGGGGCCCAATTCATGAACCCTAATCACTTGGCATCCTGTGCCCTCATTACAACTGATGACTGCACGGACGACTCACGTGCCAATAGAATAAATCTCACATATAAGACAGGTAGACGAAGTACGTACAAATGATCGGTAGCATCAGTGTTCATCTTCTTAAACCGATAGGGTGATAAAGTACGTGTATGCTTGTGCAAGTGTTCTATCACAGTTCGGGCCAACGAATAAGAGTGGGGGAAAATGAACGGCACATAAGGAACGATCCCCACAATTTTCAACAAGTAAAACTCACACATGTTAGGCACGCCACTACACAAATATCAACAACAACAACAATGCCCCAGACCATCACAAGTCATCACAAATCAGTTACCGACATAGCCCACCTTGTCTCGACATGTGCGCAAACCCACATATATAGCCCGCCTTGTCATGCCACATGTGCATATATCAATAGTAATAATGGCACGATAGAAACCTTATGCAAACACCCGAACAAAACCTCCCAATAATATCACGTGCCAAAAACACAACATTTCATCTAAATAGTATCAATACCACAACCGCGGATAGCCCTCGGCTCAACAAACTGAGTACAACAGTGATAACAACAATAATAGCATGAGAATACGACAAGTAAATCAACTCAAGAGCTTTGGATCACAAAGAAGTGGTAGAACGAGCTCACAAAGAATAAACACAATAGGAAATACTAGTTTCAATAAGAATAGCTCAACAAAGGAGAAATGATATGTAACAAATGATTCCACAAAAGTACAATCCGACATAAAGGGAGATAACATGAGTCAATAATTCCAAATAAGGATAAGGCCACTACGATCAAGGATAACTAGCTTCATTTAGGGTTGAGCAATTACGAAAGAGGTACAACAAATTCAATTAAGGATAAGCAATTAGGAAAGGATAGCATGGTAATCAAAGAGACAACAACTTCAGTTAAGGCATACAGTAGTCAAATAGGCAATAAGAGTTGAACATGAAGCAATCAGTTCCAATTAAAATACGTAGAGGTGAAGCTAGTAATTGGGGAACTTAACATAACAAAACAACTTCATATCTAATGAACATAAGAACCTAAGAGCCCTAAAAGGTTAACTTTCCACAAATAAGCATGAGCACGAACTCGCCACCTCGCGTACACGGACTTCATATGACACAAGTAGCACTAAAGACTCAATACCTAAGGGGTAGTTTCCCCCACACAAAGTTAGGCAAGATATTTACCTCAAACCACGTTCAATCAATCAATTAGAAGGCCTTTTCCCTCGATTTCCAACTCCGAACGACTTGAATCTAGCCAAAACAATTTCATACTATAATTATAACTATAGGAAACTAATTTAAATAATGAAATAATGATCTTAGCTAAAAATTGAAATATCGCTCCAAAAAGTCAACCCAGACCCGCGTCTCGGAATCCGATCAAAATTATAAAAACCGAACACCCATTCGATATCGAATTCAACCATACCAAAATTATCAATTTTCGAGCTCAATTCGTCCTTCAAATCATCATTTTATATTTTAAAATATTTTACAAATTTTCCCAAGTATCCAACTTAATTCACTAATTAAATGATGAAAATAACAATGGGTTCATAAAATATAACAAGATTTGGGTAGAGAACACTTACCCCAATGAGTTACTTGAAAACCCACAAACAATCTCCCAAAATCGAGGTCTAGAACTCAAAATATGTTAAAAATATCAAACCCTCGACATATAAGTGTTCTGCCCACAACTTCCGTATTTCCGGACAAGGAAGCGCATATGCGCTCTCGCATTTGCGAGAAAACGTTCATATCTGCGAACTCAAGTGGCCATCCCAGTGGCCGCATCTGCGCAAAGGGAGTCACACCCGCAACACCGCAAAAGCGCACAAATAGCCGCAGAAGTGGATAGCTTCGCATTTGCGATCAATGGGCCGCAAAAGCGGCCATTGCATCTGTGATAAATTCTCCGCAGAAGCGAATTCCCCCCCCCCCCC